CTGTGCAGGGCCGGGTTTGCAAGAGTTCTCCCCGGAACGAAAAGCAAGTAGCAGCAGGGAGGAGGAGGAGGAGGAGGAGGAGGAGGAGGAGGAGGAGGAGGAGGAGGAGCAGGACAGTGGCTAATGGTTTAATGTAACGGGCAGCAAAAAAATGTGTGAGTCGCAGCGTTGAAAGCAGTGGTCAGTAGTAGCAAGTAGTGATAGTAGCAGTGCTAGTAGAAGCAGGAGCAGCAGCGCAACAGGAGTAGTAGTCAATAGCAATCGAAGTAGTGTCTGGAAGGAAAGTTAAGAGACCACCATCCCTTGCCCGCTCTTGTCCGTCAGGCTTTCACGTACTGCGAAGGCGCCAGCCATATTTCGGACAACGAGTCTGGCACCTCGCTCGCCGAAGAGGCGGAACCAACTCCGCATGTCTAACCATAACCCCCACCAGCCATCTTGGGCCCTACCCTCAACCCTGGAAGCACTTCCGACGGGAGCGGGAACGGACTGTTGGGGCCAGCCAACAAGTCCCAAGCCTTGTCAAACAGGTCGGCCTGCTCAACACATCCACTACTATGTTCCAGCTGGCGGGTGTGGGAATGGCATCTCGGTCATGGATGAGCGCAGCCTCATGAATCGCCAGGGCTTGGGGTACTGATGGGCATGATCACTGGGGTGGTGATGCTACGATGTCAGTGTTCAGCATGACGATGATTCTAATGTTGGTGCCGCGCTGACATTCGACGATGACAACGGCGATGACGAGCAGGAGGGGGAGGCAGAGGAGATGGAGGCGGAAGGGCTGAGCCAACACAAGTCAACTTCAGCAAGGTATCGTACCGATTGCCCGTCGTTTCGCCCAAATGACGCTGTTAATTGCAGACTGTTGACTGGCACTCTCAGCATCATGAAGGTAGTTGTTTTGTAGTGTGTTGCCGATGGCGGCGGTTGGGAAGGGGCACACAAAGCACATGGTTCAATAATCTGGTTGTTTGGTTCAACTAAAGCGTTGCAACCGCGATTAATCATACCACGGCCAGCTTTGCTGACTTGCTCTTCTCAGGTTCGCGACTTCATGCAACGATGATCATCGATGATCCAACTAGCACTGCTTGGGATTCCTACTTCCTGCCACTTGTACCACGCCCGGCAGAGACAGATACCTGCGATTTGAACCTAATGGATTTTGTTACACCAGGGGAAGGGGTGAGTGGCAGCATCAGATTGGGATAGTTACCTGTAACAAGTCTGAACCATGAAGCCAACAACTTCAAAGCATGAGAAACAGAATAACACTATGCACCGGGCCCAGAAAAGCCTCATGCCCAAGACACCAAAAGCGTCTGACCCCACAGCCGAAATGGGAGTTTTGAGGCGGCTGCGACGACTTGGTTTGCCGTGGCACAAACTCTGCTCGTCGGCTGCAGAAGTTCGGGCTTGAGGGTTTGCGGTGTGGGGCTTAGTCTCCTTATTCCGTGGTTGCTCGGACTAGGGCCTAGAGTCACGAATTCTTCCCATCCTGAGAACGAAGACTGAACCTGCTGTTCGACACGAAACATTCGATGGAACCGGACCTGGCCATCACGCCCGAAAGTAGATTGCAGATACGGTCAAGACTGGCGAAGGACAGAAGCTGCGCAAGCACGTGGGTCATGAGCTTCTGCCAGGTCCCAGCATCAGTTCGCCGACCCGGACAGCCGGTTATTTGTGGAAGACAGGTCCACGCTGTGCATTGGCGGTGCCGTGATTTCGCTGATTGTGGTACGAACCTCAGGACAGCAACAATCTGCTTGCAGCCCGAAAGCGGCTGCGGTTCATTTTTTCGCGGTGTGGGAGTCGTCGGGTTTTCGGCAGATGCCTCGTGTGGCTCGAACATGCTCGAACCATGTAGATGTGGCAACTTCACGCGAAACAGGAAGAGCATGTCCAGTTCCCAGCCTGCATCCACAAGTGCTTGAGGCAACTCCCTTCATGACCATTTTTGATGTTGCCGCGCAGCTGCATTGAGTCCCTAGAGATGCACGTGTCCTGTAGCGTGCGGCTGTGAGCACGTCAAGTTCCAAGCCCCCCAAACTATAATAATAATAATACAGAAAATAAGACATTAAAATAAATAGTAATAACAGTAACCATAACTGCTGGTACGGAGAAGAGCCCAAGATGCCAGAGAGCATACCGCAGCCGAGGTTGCGGAGGCCGTGCTCTACAGCAAAGTCGTAGACCGGCAGCGCAACCCCAAAAGAGACGGGCCGCCAGCATCGTCCAGCATGATCTTGAGGACATGCCTGGGCGTGTTTGGGGTTCGAGCGGAAAGTCTGCGGCCAGAAAGATCAGAGTGCACGAGACTGACGACTGGACCGCAGCCCATGTTGCACAAAGCTGCTAAACAAAAAAGAGGAAGAAGAGCATTGGCGACTACAGCTCTAAAAATGCAAAGCATCAGAAGCAATCAAAAATCAGCAATCACGAAGAGAAGTGTGCTGCTGTGAAGCGCAGAAACCCATGCTGGAAAGGAACTGTTCGCCTTGGCGCCGCACTCTTCAGGCCGGGGCCCGACTAACTGTGACGATGACTTTGACAGTACTCTGACCAGGACGATCATTACTATTACCATTACCATGGCTATTGTTAGCTGTTGTTGTGGTTGTTCTGCATTGAGCAGTGGTAGTCTGGTTGAAGGGATCAGATCGATGGAAGCAAGGCAGGTCCTCTGCGGTTCGGCTTGGGTTTACACACCAGTTCTGCTTGGCCAGCGGCCCACCTACATGCACATGCAAATTGGTCTGATCTAGAATTTTTGAATGTGCTGCGACAAGGCAGGGGTAAGCGCTGCAACAACCACGGCCCTCAACAACTGATGGGCGCCTCTTGAGGGTCCTGCCCCGCCCCGGAAGCTATCTGCAGCTGAGGACATCACGTCCTGCAACTGTGCCTACCGAAATGGCGCGGACATCACCCAAAGCCAAAGCTCTGGGGGCTTTGGACTTCTGGATTGGGGATCTCAGACGTTCCAGGCCGGCCGCTTAGGGAGCTTCATGGGTTCGAGAATAGCAATAGGTGATCACACTGCCCTCTTGAGGTCGGTAATGGTCATAGACTGCATAGTTTCATAAGATCATATGCACTCATACATGCTCTGCTCACATTTGTCGATTATATATGTATGCATGCGTGCATGCATGTATGTACGTATGTACGTATGTACGTATGTATGTAAACATGTGTACCTACAGTAGTGTACTTTTCAGACTTTCAGAGGCTTAAAGAGACTTCTGTGTGTGTGTGTGGGCGGGAATTTTTGACGGCTGACTTTACCGTCGTATGCGAAGAGCTCACACACCGAGGTGCAAGGAAGCCCGTCAATGCCAGCCTTTGCTCCATCTTCACCCTTCAGCGCCCCAGTGTGATTTCCAGGCACGACCTGCATCAGTTTCATGGAAAATTGAAATTAAAAGGCACCATGCACGCGTATCTGAGCACGAGCTGCATTGCCAGGCTCGCTGGTCTGGGTGAAGATGAAGCGGTGAGTCGACTAGGTCTTTATTGAACCCTGACACCTCTACAAAACCCACCTCAGGCTGCCTCGAAGAAGAAGCACCAAGGTAAATCCTGTCATACCCCAGTCGACCTCACTTTTTTTGCTGTTTGCTGCAACAGACTCAACCATGCAGAAATCGACTTGTGCATCCACGGATCTGGATCTGCGATGCCCAGCTGGAATCCTCATGATGAAATAAGTAAGTGGCTGCTTTAGAGCGGGAAGCCCGCGGAGTGATCAGAGCCATTGGATCAGAGACCGCATGCGGCTGAGGTGGTGACACAAAGGTAGGGCACGATCCAGGTCTGTACTTGCCCAGTCGACTCTTTGCTTGTATGTGCTCTGGACTGCTCGCGCAGTTTCGATTTTCAACAGCTAAACAAACGACCCAGGAATGTCGTTCTGCCTTGCTTGTTGATCACCCTCATCGTTGTTACAGCCCGAGTTGCGGATAACAAGGTCAGATCTGTTAAGCTATGTTCCCAGGAGGCAGATCTCATTGCGAGAGCTTTCTTGCCATGATGGTCGTGCTGACGATAGCGATGCTGATCATGAGGGTAATGCTGGTATTGATAATTCGGGTTCAAACTTGGGAAATCTCCATGTGTTGGCTCGGAGAGTTTGCGGAGCAGTGGTGCTCACGTGTGATGTGCAGCCTGTTGTGCTCTGTGCAGTGCCGTTCTGAGATACATGTTGCAGTTGTAGTTGTGGTGGTTTCTGTTGTGCCGGTTGTTGTGGTTGTGTGTCGTTGTGGTTGTTCTGGTTGTTGTGGTGGTTTGGGTTTGGTTCTTGTCATGGTTGTGTTTTGGTTATTGTTCGCGCTGTGAGATTATTGGCTCCATCAACATGTCTATCCACATAATCTCTTGTAGATCAACTGCTATTGCTGGGCACAAAGTAGAACGAAATTCAAGGGCCCTCGCGCAGAATGCATGTTGCCCTGGCCTGTCAAAGCACCAAAACGGCCGAAGAGGACAACGGCGCACCAATCGGGTAAAAAGGATAGGTTGGCTCAGCCTTCAGGGTTAAGACTACGAAATCCCAGATGAAGAGGCTGACTTGCTGAACGTTCAGTAATGATCGCTACCAGGCAAGCCTGCTCCTCAGCGTAGATGTCCATTCTGGATGGCATGTTCGAGGCTGAAATAGCTTTATCTCCAAATAGTTTCACGGTCCCGGGACTCCATCAAGAAGCTAGGCAGCCGACTCTGCAGATTCGCTATCGCCACCATCACCACCGTGATCATGACCAGCCACAGCAGACTTGATACATTTGTTTCAAGTCTTTCTGGTCTCCTTCGTCCGGTACAGGTAAAGCCATCAGATTCATCTTCGCCGTCGCAGCGGCCATCATCACAGTCATCACTCGACCACTGCTACCACCGTCATAACCCTCATCGTCATCCTCATCTTTGTCAGCCCCAGCGCTGCTGTCCTGTCCTGGCGCCCTTGCAGCCGACACTTCCCTGACAAGAACAAGGCCAGCCCCGTGGACCTGGCGCGATGGAGGGCCGAGTCCAACCAGGTGTGGGAGACTGGAAGTGGGAGAAGTGGGAGGAGGGGGGGGGGGGAAGGTGGAAGGCTTTAGGATGATTGCGGCTGTAGTTCTGGGGTATGTCCTGTTCTCATTTTAGGCTCAGTGGGGGGAGTAGGGGTCAGTTCTGCAGATTCGGCTGATTTACACAAGATGTCGGCTTCACGGTGCCGTTGCAATGCCTTCTGCACCTCTCGTCGTTACGCTGTGACAACCCGAGTGGAATGTCAGCTGGGGTTGGGGCCTCATGGCGGCCTGGACAAGTTATCCGCAGTACTAGTAACAGGAGTTCGGAACAAGATGATTACTTTGCTTCTGTTCCTGTTTGTATGACGAATATCTCGGGCAGGAATGCTCCGAGAAACACATCAACCGGGATGCTCATTCTTTTCAGTATGTGGCAATACTCGATCCTGGGATGAGATACCGCACCGAAGCATTCATTGCAGTAGCTGTGTTGCAAGAATTCAACATGGGTCAGTCATGGCGATTTCGTGGCAGCGCCTAGTGAGTCCTGAGCTTAGGAGGCAGCTTGATTGATTTGTGTCGCTCGGCATGGGGCTGAAGCCAGGCGGCACCCAAGCATTCTTACAAACACCAACACACCACTGAGTCACGCGCTACCATCGGTGCTACCTACGACTCTACATGGGTAGTTCTCTAAGTTAGGATCCCTATTGTACGACCGCACAATAGTACGAACCCGCATGAACACGACCCTAAAAGGTGCCCTCATGTAGAGAACTACCCACATGCACAGACGCTCCATTCCAACTCCCTGTGCTTGGCTGAGGCCTGGCTTCTCCAGGTGGACAGCCACGCAGGCCGTAGTTGTATAGCGGAATCGAAGTTCACTTCCGGGTCGAAGGTGTAAGGTTTGGGGGTTTGAGAGATGCCTCTAGGAACCTGTGCCCCTTGCTCCAAAGCACTCAGAAACAGGGACTCACAGACCCGCCGGGAAACCTGAAATGGCCGCCAACGGTTCGCATGACCCCCGATGGATCTGACAGGACTAGGATACTTTAGTTGAATGAATTACTATAGTATTTGGGTACTACATTATGGTATAATTGACGTAGTCTAATTGTGGTATAAGGTGGTAACATGTTATAGTAGAACATACTCTCCCTAAAGCCCCTGCAGATCTGCGACGGAGGCACAGGCTGTGGACCAGATGCAGATCGCCTCAGTGCCGAGCTTGTAAGGCACATGGCCAGACAGAGGGTTTGGGCTTTGGGGTTTCGAGTTTAGGGCTTGGGGTTTGGGGTTTAGGGGGTTTGGGGTTTGGAGTTTAGGGCTTGGGGTTTAAGGTTTGGTGTTTGGGGTTTAAGCAGGGTTGCCGGTTTCTGGTTTGAAGGCTTCAGGGAATGTAGAGGGTGGTCGGACGTTGCAAGGATGCCAGTCTTGGGGCTTTCCTTGAGGTTTGTTTGTTTTTGAGTGTCTTCGTCTTGGAACTTAGGGTTTTCGATGTGGTCGTAAAAGCTTCTTGGGCTCGTAGGAGGTTTGAGATGATTGACGGCATGGGATCTTCCTGACGGCATGATCGTGCCCACAAGCTATCCTTGACACTCCACAACATGCATCAGACAGACTTGGTTTACAGCCATTGCTGTTGCGGGCTCCACAACAGTCCCTAGCTTGGGTCTTATCTTCATGAGGACCGCAGCCATGGACCTCAAAGTGATATTTCAAGATGTTGGGACTTGGGTCTTGAAGGCAAAGCAGAAGTGCTAGAAAGACGCTGCGAAGCAGTCCGTGCCACACTTTCCGAGTGCAAGGACCACTCAAGCCCAAGCTGGCCTACATCATTTTGCAGCCTGCAGCTTGCTATCCTGCAGGGTTGTGCACGAAATCATCGGAAAATCGGAAGTCCGCTGCACGCAGTCTCATCGCGACAATTGACCATTGATGTCAAGCTCAATCGCGTCCCGCTCCACAATCCGGAGGTTTACGAACGATGCGCACTTCAGAGGCTTCCTGCTCAAGGAGTCGCTTTCCATGCAGGTGGCTGCGGCCTAAGCACCGGAGGCTTCGAAGCGTGTCCACTTCCGTTGTTGCCGGGTCTTCTTTTGCAGCTCATGCGCATCCTAAACACAATGGTTTGTTGCCTAATCTCAGAACTTTGGTTCGTGAGAAGGGCCTGCGTGCAAATCGAGAAAGATGCTGGTAGATAGTGCTGTGTCGTCGGCATGCTGCTGAAAATGCTGCTTGAAAGTATCGGCCATAGTGTAGTCAATGGGACAGGTACAGCATCGTGACGAAAAGCAGCTTGAGCCCTGAACGTCGAGAGACAGAACTGCAAAGGAGCTGATAAGCCCAACAAGAGACATGGGACTTAGATGCCTTTACGTCCCCGGCCTATACACCCTTACAGGAGGATTGAACCTTAATTAATGAGATGCAGCGTACAATGCGAAAGCACATGTCAAAACAAGCTGTTCTAGGATGAGAGGATTTCTGCGGACAAGCGCGACCATGATCTTGAGGTGCCGGAGCCCCATGGAAACATTCCTCGCCGGGCCGGGGACAGAGTTTTGCCCTTCTAGAGCTTGATGCGCCGTGTGCACATGCCGGGGTCTCTGACAATAATATGATATGTTTATGGTTTCTTGTCGCTTGATTGAAGGTCTGTTAGCACCTTGAATCTAGAAGGTAAGTTATGCAGAGGTTCAAGGCAGGCTGTGTGTATCATATGCTGCGGGATCTTGGAAGTCGGCAAGGTGCAAATGGCTTTCGTGTGTCAAGTTCGTTCGGCCTCTTTGTTTGCCATGCAGTGAAGCCAGCGAAAGGCTGCATGCATCTTATGCACAAAAGCCATTCCAACGCCGGATCCGGCCGCAAAGCAGCAATAAAGCTATCCGCCTCATGTTCGTTAGAACACCACGCTGTGTTCGTTATGATCGACATTATGAAGCAGCGAAAGAATCGTTTAGTTATGACTATCTCATCGCTGCTCTTATCCTTAAGATACTCGTGCAAGGATTGACCCGAAGCCCCAGCCCAGGCTAGCATTCTGGAAGTCCGCTTCCGGAGTCAGAACACCCTGCGTTCACAGGGCCGGATGTGTTCAGGGGATGGAGGGTCTCCGAAAGGCTTTTGTTGATTGCTTTTGGATCGGAGAATCGGAGCAATGTGGTATGTCATAACCTGGGCATCTGAGCGCCGCATGTTGGAAGGCCTGCACTGGGGCATCAAGGCTTGAAAGCACGCATGCTCCTCTCTGCCGCTCTTTGCGAGTCAGACACGTTGGCAGCCTGCATACTCAGAGGTTCTTGGGAGTCGGAAGCAGATCCCTCCCGTAATTTAACCCTAAAACCCTAAACCCCATAGCCAGAGAGCCCTATAAAGCCATATCAAGCCCGAAAGTACGGAAGAGTGCACCGAAAGCTTGAGCATGTCGGCCCTTGGAGGCTCCGGCATCTTCGTGCGACTGGAAGCACCACTAGGTGCCATCCAAAGGGGTGGGTTTGCTAGGAGATGATCGTAACGAGGCGGTGGAGGAGACGATCCATACACATACTTGCTCCTATGCTCTTAGAGAGGTGCTAAGCTCATTACAAATCTCGGCGAATTTGCGGTGCTTGGAGAAGGAGTTCCACGATACTTGAGCCATCCGACGACGACGACGACTACTACTACTACTACTAGCCATCCCCCTACCAACTACACTTGTCAAACCAGGGTTCTGGAAGCTCGATTTTGCAAACTACTAGTTCTGGTGGTGATGGTGACAATTATGACTGCGACGTGCGAGGGCCCTTGGCCCAAGATCGTAAGAGCGTCGTGCCAGACGGCCCATGAGACCGTGCACGAGAGCAGTTTGCAGCCACTGTTGCCTAAATGCGGGCTATTTGGCGTTAATGGACTTGGCGTGGTGCGCCGGCGCCATGAACGGCGCTGCCCGGGCAGCCGCAGGCCTCAAGTGACACCTGCTTCCCCTCCTTGCTGCCCCGTGTCGATGTGGTCGTCAAAGAAACTGGGAGAGACGCTGACGGTGACGAGACAGGAGTTGGAGTCTGTAACGAATCATCACAGACTCCAATTCCTGTTTCGTCACTGAAGCATGACAAGGATCTCGGCCAAGAGGTGATGAGGTGCGTGACAGTGGCATGGCGGCCCGGATCCAATGAACATGCCCACCTTCGTCCACCGATGGCCGTGCAGCCGGGCAAGACATGACAACTTGAATCTTGAATCTGCAGCAAAGTTGCAAGCATGACAACGCAGTGTTGGCTGGTGTGTAGCCGATGATGATGATTCTCCATGATTGACAGGTGTGGAGTTTGCCCTCGGCTGCCTGGCAGCGGTGCCAGATCCGGATTACGTGGTCTGGACCACAGGGCCATGAGGCATTCGCAGCAGGCAGTAAGTACATTGGGAGCAATACCCGTTGTGAGCTCGATTTTTAGCAGGACAGATGAATGCTGCTCTCTGTCTACAGCCTTATCATACCTCGACATGTCGATTTGAACTTCTGACCGAGCACAAAACTCCACAAGTACAAGTTGAGCACAAGGATCATCTGATAGGTGCTGATATGAAAATATAGTGTTTGCATGTACTTACACACAGACCGCTTGCATATCTGTGCATTTGTGGGTATATACACTGCCTTGAATGTGGGAGGTTCTGAAAACAGGTGACCGTAATATAGTACCCTAAATAGAAGGATCCTTATCATAGGGACCCCCAAATAAGGTACCCCTGATTTTCGGAAACTCCGTATACACTCTTCTAGTAGCCCTTGTAGTAACCCGTATAGTAATTACCCTTATAGTAGCCCTTTAAAGGATCCCTTTAAGGGTACCGCGAGTCCTCATCCTCCGAGGGCTGCGAGGGAACTGGCCGACTGGCGGTTGCACAGCGAGCACAGGCGCGATTGTGGCATCCCATGATTCAGCATTGTAGTACTTATAGTCTCCATTGTAGTTCCTTTTTTTGTTAACCAGTTTTATGGTTAGGGTCCTATAATAGAGTTTTTGGTTAGCCAAAAAAAAGGAACTACAATGGAGACTATAGGTGGCTTACCTTTGTTGTGTTAGGTGCCTAGTGCTTTACATTATGACATAGAGTTCCATGTTATAGTGTTCTGCCACACAGTTACCTTGCATGCATGACGAGCTTCGTATGATGACGCCATGGCAGCACTCGTTCGCTTGTAGGGTAGGTAGTCTCCAGTTGTCTGCAACGTTGTGCAAGCACGGGCTCAATTTGTTGACCTTGAGAAAATTGCTCATTCTATTTTTGCTGCTGCAATTCTTCAAGACTGCTTGGCTGCGACGTGCATAGCTTTCAGCACAGAACATGGATGTCTTGGGGAGGATTCTAGACCGCGAGGTGATATGCGCGGAATCACTACATGCAGCATCGGAATTTTGCGGAAGATGCAAAGAAGCAGCAGAAAAGCAACGAATCTCAATCCGGTAAAGTCCATGGTCCGATCTGAAGAGCTTCTCGTAGAGAAAGGTTCTGTTTGGAGCTCTTCATCAGGAGCCAAGGAAGCCATCATCATCTCCTTTGGATGCATCTACGCCATGCGGAGCCGTGAAGCCTACAGCCGAACCGGACACGCTAAAGCCCCATGGGCCCCGAACCCTGAAGACTCAAAGCCCAGTACGGCCAAAGCCCTAGACCCTCAAACCCAAAAAAGTCAACCCTCTGGGTAACAAAACAGGAAAGCACGACTCCAGGCTACCCTGGAGACCGGCCAGCATACGCTCGTGCTTCGTGCGGTGAACCCGATCCGCACACCCAGCTCCAACTGGCGCACCACGCAAGGTTTTAAGGTTTGGGGGTTAGGGGGTTTAAGTGTTTGAGGATAGGTTTGGGCTTGGGTAGTTCTGGATTTGGAGTTTCAGGGCCTGCAATTCGGAGTTTTGTGGTTTAGGTTTATCAACTGGTCTTTTGTGCTTCCAGGCACCGACCTCCTATGCAATGTACTGTAGCATCCAAGAATATGTTTAATTATGATATTCTTACCATGATAAGTATGACTTTTATGATTACTATTGTTATTGTCATTATCATTTGGTGATTACAGTCGCCAGGTGGACATTGCAGACCTTTGCGGATGTCACAGCTGCTGCGGCCAGACTTGGCGAGTTTGCAGATGTCAGGCGGACAGAGCGACAAGAGATTGCGGGATCATTAAAGAGATCCTGCCGAAGACTAGTTTACCGTGTCTGTCTGCATGTACAGTGCTGATAGTAGAAGTCGCAGTGGTAGAAGAGATGCTGGCATTTTTCTTGCTTCAAACACGTTTTCTCAGGTTTAGTCGGAGCACGTCCCACTGCCGGCTGGCAATGTTTGCTTGCAGGGTATTGGGGTTTAGGGGCTGGTGGTGTGACGGGGACGCATCAATGACTGTGAGCAGCATAACGATGTGGCCCCGCAGGCAGCGTGGACGAGTCATGGGCTTTCAACTCGCTCAAACTCTCCATGTGCTCTTCTCAGTGAAGTAAGACATTGCTCTATCAGGGCGAAATCCCTCCAGAACAAGAAGAGAAAGTACAATCATGTACACGGTGAGGGTGCGAGGGGAGATCCTATGCTGCTGCCTGTACTCACAGTCTCGCCGTCGAGCAAATGACTTGAACCCAAGCCAAGCTTTTTCGGCAAGGCTACGATACAGCCCAGCAGTCCGGAGGCGGAAGGCAGGGGCTGCCCTGGCCACGTCTTCAAAGTTCCTTAAACGGGATTGCATAGCGGGTTCACAGCCCTGAGCCCTAAATCCTGAAAGCTCCGCCCAAGCAGACATGAGATGTGCATGTCACAGGTTCTGTTCAGCTCTTCTTGTGGCTCAGGCGCCTGGTGGGTTGGGTTAACTGTATAGGATTTAGGGCTTTGGGCTTTGGGAATACTGAGTAAAAGTATCATGGTTCCTGTTTCAATTTCAATTATACTGTAATTTACTGTACTTCCGGTTTGGGAGCTCTCTATGCGCAGTTGTGAGCACTCATGGGGTCGCCGGAGTCTGGAGAGCATGCTGCCAGCAGGCGGCTTAGGTCGCTCTTTGCTTGCTTTAGCTCCTTCAAATATGTACCGCCAGGCCTGCCAGCTACGTACCAGCAGGTGGGCGAGTGGAGATCCATGCCGGGCAGGCGAGACGTTGAGCCCGCATCTCACCACACAGTGTGGTAAATGGTTTCGGGGTGTAACTGTTTGGCGTTTCCTTTACGCTTTAGGCTTCAAGGTTCAGGTTTGTGGTTCAGTGGTCAACTTTTCAACAGTGGGCTCATATGTTTTCCCTGGTGCGAGTACACACTTAAACAAGTAAGAAGGACCCACGAATATTTGCATGCAGGTTTCTATTTTTGTTCAGATCCACTTTTCTACAGCCCGTGGCACACCTTCACATATTACGCAGTAGCGCACATGCACCGAGTACATACGCACACATATGCATAGGGAGTGCGCCTGTTAATTGGCGTGTAAAACGTAGCCTCTGCATACATGTGTATGTATGTATGTATGTGTATACATTTACATGTGTATATATATATATATGTCAATGTATATATGTGTACATACACACACATGTAGCATTGTACGCGAGTCGGTGTGCGCACACATGCCAACCAAATGCAGATAGACGGAACGCTATGTCACACTGGCATTGACTTGTCATAGCATACCGCGAGATCGCTGCTCCGGGACAATGACAGCAGGCGGCATGAGGCCCTAATCGACCTCACAGGATGTTGAGACGGTGAAAGCAGGTGCACCACGTTTGACGTCTGGGCTGGATGGAGCAGTCCATCCCTGGGCGCACCAGCAATGGGCAGCCGCGCTGGTGCCTGGACGAGAAGCTTTCAATGTCTCATCTCAGTCTCCAGACTTTCGGAGACGCTTGCGATGACGGAGCCCATACTCGTTTCACTCCGCAGACTCTTCGTCAACTATGCTACCTTGACAAAGACCGGAGACGGCCACAAGTTCAAGTCGCAACCAGGCAGCATGCTTCAGAACTCGCAAGAGCGTGGCACCGAGGTGAGAGAGATTTCTTCAGTCTGCAAAGCCGGTACACACCTGACCTTCAGAAGCACTGTATTGACGTGTGCTGAAGTTTCAAGCAAACCTCATTCTCCAAGCTTGAAACAAACAAGCCCAAAGCCGAAATTTAGCCCATACTTCATCCGCCATACCCTGAACCCACACATACAACGGGTACAGTCCGTCGTTGACAGGCTTTCGAGCTGTCCTGCACGCCTTCTTTCGTCCTACTGTCTATGCCTCCAGGACCGGGTGGGGATTGGTATACCTTATTAGATTAGAGGATGTTACACCATAGCATATCAGGTCATAGCATATTACTCATATATATATATATATATATATATATATATATGATATGGTTCGCGTATGATGCCAGAACCGTCTGAGGACACATCTCCACTCGAGACAAACCCGTCACATGGATCCTAGGCCCCCAGTCTACCACGCAGGGTTTTGCTCCCTTCGGTTCGCTAAAGCATCCCAAGTGCTTTCCGTCATCACCATATCATCATTTATCAGCTGCATCATTCCAGACGATGCATCTTGCGAAAAAGGCTGAAACGAGCGAGCGGCCTGCCGTCAAATCTCACGTCCCAAAATCAGATGCGGAAGGCTGTAGTGGCTACAGGCAACGACAGGTACTTTTAAAGGGGTGTAGATCAGGGTCCCGTTTGGGCGACACCCTGCCATGAGCCATGCAGATTGCCTCACATGCCCCCGCACTTCGGAGGAACCTGTGAAGCTCTGCATGCGACCTCGGGACTGGAGTACACTGACGACCACGACATCGTCGTGTTTCGCATCGCTGAGGCCGGAACTGGTGAAGACGATGCTCGAGTTTGCGTCTTCAGGTTTGCCGCCATAGTTGCCATCAATTGGCTGTGGTTGTTGTTGTTGCCTGAGCATGGCGAGCTCTATCTCTTGGTCGTGATGTTGACGCTGGTGTTGTTGATGATGGTTGCGACGATGCGATGATTTTAAGCACGCATTCGTGGAAGCCGGAGCTTCCAGTGCTAGGGAACTGCTGCCTGCAGGGGCACTTCCTTCTCCCGAACAACGAGTACGAGCTATCTATTTTCGGCAGGAGCTCTGGGATTTGTGGTGTCACTGGTTCACGGGAACAAAATGCAGTTCTCAGCCGGAAAATGCCACATCCAGGAATGCGAGAACTCTGGAGGGAGTTGTCTCCACCCGTTCGGCCCTCTGCTTGCCTGCCGGTAAAGTGCAAAGAGGTGGCTTTCACTCAGCGAAGCGGCGAGATTTCAAGCGATCTCAATGGGCCAAACGAAGGGCCAGAAGAAAGATCACAATGAATAATTAGCAGCAGTAGACGCTAACCTTAACGTACTTTTCTGGCCCCGGCCTGTCCACGCGTCACGGTCATGCGAACGGTCTTGACACTCACATTGGCGAAAGCAATACGTGCAAGGCTCGAATCGTGCATGCTGGTATGGTCAGCAAACGTGTGTCTAGTCATGGAGACGAGACCGAGGAAGCTGTTGCAGCAGCGACACGAGCGAAAGCCGGTCTGGTAGTCAATACTAATAATGCTAGCAGTCACTGCGATTGTCTTGGTCGTCATTGTTATCTTCGCCACTGTCATGACCGTCCCGTCATCACCACCAGCACTGCTACCAGACCACCACATTCACGCCATGATCAGCAGCAACAATGTTAAATCAGAAGCACAGCTTGGTGGAGTCGAGGCTGGGGTGTTCTCCTGCGCGACGACCGCCGCGATGTGCTGGAAGCAAACATGGAGGTCCCCTCCTCGAGCTGCAGGGGCTTTCTGGGTTCAAAAGCAGAGAGAATGCGGAACCTGCAGAGGAAAGGTGAATGGCTTCGGGTTGTGGAAGGCTTATTATTCTTGCACGTCACCCGGACACGAGCTGGCGAATACCCGATGCATTCTAAGCAAGATGTCTCGGGAGTGAATGGTAGAACTCAGGCAAGATACTGTTCGTAAACCTCAAGCTATCTCGGGCCCTTGTTTGTGCTGAGATCCCTTCTTACAACCTTACGGCCGTTGGGATGCAAGCGCTTTCGCTGCAGCCAAGCGTCTCAGCCCTGTCCTCAGCAGCGACTGTATGTGCACTTTGTTATGCAGTCGTCTGTCGGGTCACAAGTACTTACATAAAGAATCGACAGTGGTAGCGATAGTGACGGTCGTCGTCCCAGTGGAGCAGCAGCAGCAGGAGTAGGAGTACTACTAGGAGTAGGAGTAGGAGTAGGAGTAGGAGTAGGAGTAGGAGTAGGAGTAGTAGTAGTAGTAGTAGTAGTAGTAGTAGTAGTAGTAGTAGTAGTAGGAGGTAGCATCAATAAGAGGTATCTCCAGTATCGGCAGTTGTAGCATTATGCAGCATTAGCAGTCGCAGCTGAAGTAGCAGTCGTGCCAGTGCTGGGTGTGATGTCGAATAGCAACAGGAGTAGCGATGGAAGGGAAGATCTAACTTGTCCCAGCACTGTCCATCAGGTTCCCTACGCGCGCAACGAGGCCTCAATAAAGCACAGCTTGGTGGGTTCTCTGGGTCATCCTTCGATATCAGTAGTTGAGTTGTCAGCAGGTTCATTCTTCCCGCAAGCGCTGTAACACCTTGTGATATCTGAGAACCACAAAGTGCGAGTCCAATAGGCCCGTTGCTGGAAACTTTGAAGCGAGAGTATGCTTTGGGCCACTCCTTGATTATGAGCCTCATGTGTGCCGTAAAGCAAGTCGGGGCCTATCTGAGGACCTGGTCGGACCCCGTTTGCGGTTTTGCTCCTGTTTCAACCACTGTAGGGGCCTTCAGAATTAGAGTAGGGTTCTGGGGTATTATACTATGCTTATGACAAGGCACCCCCCAAAATAGCATAGGTAATTATTACGGCCGCTATAGTAACCCCCAGGGCAGCAAGATTGTGCATTTGGAGCCTGAGCAGGTTCGCCTGCAGCTTGGCTTCCAGCAGAAGCTGTCTCTGGCCGCCATCAGCGAGGTACTGCCTTTGCAGAGAACTCCCTACGTGCTGCCGGAAGTCTCGCGTTTCTGGTTTGGTAGAGTTATGTAGAGCTGATCATGTCTCCGCCTGCCCAATTTTCGGCCCGAGCTGCCGAGGGGCTGGGTCCCCGGCACTAACGCTTACGCTACCGAACCACACTTTAGGAAGTGCCTCCCAGCTGCACGTGCAGAACAGCATCCGATACCCCATGATTTCAAGAGTGAGTTGTGAATTCCAAAGTTTGTGTTGAGCTCCTTGCCCGAACATTCCGGCGTGCAGGAAATGCAGGTGGCAAGGTGACCATGATGAGGCTGACGGCTAGGATGATCAGGATTAGGTCAGTGATGACGGTGATTGTGATGGGGTTCTAAACTACCCCCTTGAGAACCGAGATGTCTGTTGTCGGTTGCCAATTCAATCTTGTTTAGGTATTGATGTGTTGATGTGTCCGTTCATTCAGGTGCTGCTTGTTGTGTTTGTGGAGCGCACAGTAGGGCAGACTCAATGTCGATGTGAGCGTGAGATGAAAGCATGGCTTATCGTCAACAATCAATCTTCACCCGGAAGACTTTCTGCTACAAGCCCTGGGTCAGTTTGGGGTAGCCTTCTGTGGAGATGCTAGCTTAGCTTTGGCCCGGAGTTTGTGGTGTGCTAAGGCGTCGACATATGGTCAGGTGAGATAGACAGCCTTCTCGTGACGCCAAGAGCCTCGGCAGCTTTGAAAGCGAAGACGCGCACCTGAGACGGTGCGCAGCCAGAGTACCGTCTGAACGTCACCCTCCACAGGAACCCGAAAGCCTGCACAGTCGTCTGAACAAGCTAGGATTAGGAGCGATGGCAAATCTCAGACAACAGGAAGCACCAGTAGGCGCTGCCTGTGCAAAATGAGGTGCTATGAGAAGTGGTTTGCTGATCTCACAACTGTTGCCCCTGCCGGGGGCTGAGGCTGTTTGGTGATGCATCGGGCAGCCTTGGCTCAGCTATTGGAGACTTGCCGATATTGCAGGATGTCGGGCTGATGCTGTTTTGCATGGAAAGCATCGCAGTGTAGGTCGTCAGACCCACCTTTCTCATGCTCGTCAACAGTGTATGTATGAATCTACTCCAGCACAGGCTCCTGTCTTGGAGCATCGCGGAGGGGAGTTGCACCGACGCAGTCCGGTACTTGGTGTGCTTTGGTGCATCTTTCCACAGCTTGGGCTTGGGTTTTATCTGGCATTGTTAGCAGGCAGAGGAGCAGCAGCTTCGGACACAAGTATGCAGGGTGTTTCACAAGGAGGAATTCCGCAATATGTGTAAGCTTCGGAAGCTACAGTAATAAGCGGGAAGGCTTGGGCTTTGAACACAGTGACTCTCTTTGTCAACTACTGCCACTGGCCGTCAGTGTCAAGGGGGGCATGCACCAACTGACGGAGCAAAGTGTGTCTGCTCCGCCATGTCAACGCATGAGGAAGTAAGCTGGGACCAACTTGACAGCTCGAGTGCGGAACCGGCAGCCACACGGGTTTTTGCTGATGTTGGCGTGGCCTTCAACTGTTCGCGTTATCGGCAAGCTTGGCACTCAACACGAAAGCATTCCAGAAGTCTCACGCTGAGCAAGGCGGAGCTTGCCAGCTGCAAGCCTGCAGCCACACGGCCGAGTTCGAGCTTTGGGTGCAGGGTTGTCGGACTTCGGGGTTTCAGGGCTTAGAGCCCTAAACGCATCCAAACGTCTAAGCGGCCGTAGTGGGCCTCAAGATCCCAAGTCTGCTTCCTCTCTGTTGAGAGTGGAGTAGATCGGCTGCCCAATCGCCTGCTATCCGATCTCGTTTGAGACTGTAGTGGCCTAGGTTGGTTTGGGGGTTTTCATTCAACAAAGAAGTCACGCAAACCGTGAAATCTCGACCATGCCAGGATCTACACTACCAGCAGGATGATGAGGAGGACAGCATGAGCCTCGGTCCCTGTGTGCGGCCATGGCGGCAAGGTGTAGGGTTTGAGGAGATGAGACAATCGAAGACTTACATTTTATGATTCTGGGATTATGTCCGTAAAGAGGGCTTGAACCATGGAGCGGAGTCGAAACCTAGCAGAAGTACAGCAGACCTGTGGAGAGGACAGTGCAATCGATGGGTAGAACATTTTGGCGCAGCCAAATCGGTTCTGTATCCTCAATCTACGCCTAATCAACTGCCTAAACTAAATCCCCCCCGAAGGCATTGCAAAACGCAGAAGACTGAGGTGATGACACCACACTCCTCGCTATGCCGCAGCGGCCCACACGCAAGGCTGCAGCGCCAAGGCCTCTCTGCAGCTCTTCGTTTGGTAGGGATTTAGAGAGAGAGAGAGAGAGAGAGAGTCACACAGTCACGCAATAGTTGAACCTACCCCTTTGTAGGAATATTTCTGTAAAACTTCTGTTTAGGTGCTTTGGGGCGAGCACTATAGGGAGCTTGGCATGAGCAGTATGAGTGTGACTGGGTTTTTCAATTCCTGCCCCGAAGTCTGAAGTACGGTATTAAACGTATCCCCAAGTTTCATTGCCCATGAGCTTCGAAGTGATAGTGACAGGTGGGTTCTCTTGAAATTGCGGACAGATGAATGCGTACTTTTTTCGAGAAGGGGTTTCATCGATTCCTCAGCCCTCACAAGAAGCATTAGCCTCGCCCGGCTTGATGATGCATAGGAGGAGGCACTCTGCTTGGAGTGAAAGCGGTGCATGCGTTGTCTTGCTCTCGAAGCTGCCAGGGAACAGCGCCAGCCTGTCCATGGGCAGTGTTTTAGGTGCATCTCAGCGCCAGGGCCACTCCATGGACTGTCCACCTGTCCTCGTGGCTCAGTGGGCAGCGAAGCAGCGGCATCTCCCGGAGTTACCCCAGCAACTTTGGCAGAAAGTGCACGCTTTCGCCGGCGCTGACTATTTCATTGCGGACTACTTCCCGGAAGACCTGGAAGGCTCCTTCCCTCTGAAGCCCCGAGGCGACCCCATGCCGGGGGTTCCTGGAGATGGCCATCGCGAATTCGAGGTTCTCTTTGTGGGATCGACCCATGGCTGGCAAGCCTCGGATAGACTATGGTACAGCCCCGCAACCACTTCCAACCGCTTGCCCGCAGTCGTGGCAGACATGATCAGGCGCCTAGCATAATTTGTGGTATCATTATTAATTATGTAAAGGTTTCCTCAAGCCCCAAGCTCGTGGGAACTAGCTGAGTGCAGACATGATCGAGGCCCGGCTGGGAGGCAGAGACGAGGTGGCCCACAAGGCTTTGCTGCGAGACCGTCTGGTCATTGGAGTCGCCAGATGAGGAGTTCCTGGCAAGGATGACCCTTTTCGATTGGCAAGGTCTCTATGACAGGGAACATGTTGGCAGCCCAGGCTGGCAGTTGCACATGGAGCTTAGAAACAGCAGACACGAGCGAGAGATGCAGAGTGATATGCTTGAACAGTATGATGGCTACATCTTCTACTACTCACGTGCCTGCTCCTGCTCCTTCGGCTTCGTGTGCAACCGAGTCGGACAGCTGCAGGCCGCGCGGGCCCAGGAACGTTTTTGCATCAAGGAGCGTCAGAGATCCATTGGCTACGGCTGCAGAGAGTACGATCATTCGATTCAGCGTCGTTTTGGGAGCTTCGAGCACATCCCACTCGTCCTTGCCTCCCTCCCGGGAAAGTGCTATTGTGGTGCAGAGCGCTGCAGCCGCCAAGCTGCTCCAACCCGAGCAGCCATGACCCTGGCCGCCAAGCTCTGCTGCCCTCTCATAGAGGTTGGAGTTTGAGACCTGTTTTGGGGGGTCCTTAGGGGAAGGATCCAACTATGTGGGGTCAAGCTCGGGGTCCCTTCTTTCCGAACCTCCCAGGTGACTGGATCCTTCAAGCCGGTGCTGGAGCGTCTTGTCCAGGAAGCAGAGCGAATCGACGGCATCACCAAGCTTGCACCCGTCGTGGTCCCTCGCAACTCTGCCAAGCAGCCCTCCCTGCACCTGGGACCTTGAAAGATGCAGCAGCTCCACTCTGTTTGCAAATCAGCTTCTCTGGACAAGGCCGCGGTCGTCCTGGGCCGCTGGAGTGAGACTTTAGTTGCAGGAAGGTTGCTGAGAAAGAGCATCACAGGCAACACCAGGAAAACGCGATGGCGACATCAACAGCAACAGCAGCGATGCGTGGCAAGAACGCCCGCAACACCATTGTAGCAATAACAGGAACAGCTTGGACACTCGTGGAAATCGTCCCACAGTGTGGCTGGAGGTACATCAAAAATCCGCAGTCTACCGGGACCACTACTGCCTCCACCAGCACCAGCACCAGCATCAACAACAAGCACAGCTACACGCACACCCACACCCACAGCAACAGCAACAACAAAAACAACAACACCAGCAGCAGCAGCAGCAGTAGCAACGGCAACGGCAACGGCAACGACAACCACAACAATAACAGCAGCAACAACCACGACAACAACAACAACAACAACAAACACGCTCACAACCTTAACCACCGCCGCCGCAGCCGCCGCAGCCGCCGCCGCCACCACCACCACCACCACCACCACCAGCACCACCACCACCACCACCACCACCACCACCACCACCACCACCACCACCACCACCACCACCACCACCACCACCACCACCACCACCACCACCACCACCACCACCACCGCAACCACAACCACAACCATAACCACAAAAAAACCATAGCCACAACCACAAAAAGAATAATAATAAGAAGAAGAAGTGACAACGACATCAACGAAAACATCATCATTGCATTTTCATTCCGACGCTCGTGCAGGTAGTCCCGCTCCTTGGCGGGCATCGGAGAGTGAAACATGTGTGGCGAGGTCAACGCATGCCGTCCAGCGGGATCAATCCATGTGCTTGCAGCCGCTCCGAGGAGTCAGCGCTGCCACGCAGCCTGAGACCGTGGACGTCATCATGGTTGGGCCGTAAATGCTCCGGCATGGGCAGCTGAAGTACAGGAAACACCGCAAATGTCGATGTTCTCGCCACTGCAAGG